AAGAAGTGTTCCTACCACAACCCTTAACCATAAACAAAACAAGACAAGCGCAGAAGCTATTTTTCCGCACTTGAGCCACAGCATCGCAAGCAGCAACCCTAAGACCCGGTTGTTGTTGGGTTAAGGGGCTCTTACTCTAACTATGACTACCTACATACCTAACGCATCTAGGCATGTGGTGCTACTACTGTACACAAGGTATTCGGAGTAACTATTTTGGGAATGTCGGACTCATAGCTACGGCATTACTACCTACACTGGACCTACTACCTATGCTATACATAGTGGGGCTCAGGGGTCGGTATATTTCAACTGATGAACCATCAAATATATGATGACTCAACATTTAGAAACGTTTTTGAAACCATACCTTCCCAGGATTTGGAAAATAATACCTAACATGGCTACCTTTTTGAGAACTTGACGATTATCACAGGATCATCAATCAAATGAGCTCGGCACTGTAGAGAAAGAGGGCCAGCTCGCGTGTTGGCGAAGAGAGGAGGCCGGGAGCGTAGGAACCAGCATACCTGGGGCTACTGCAAATGGACCGATGGTGTACCTGGTTGGTCATTGTTAACACATAGTAATGTTCGCAAAGCAATAGGATCCACCATCCCCAATTTTACTCGAAATGGGTGGTATAGACCATGAACATATAGGTGGTTTACTATTGCTTTACTAACATTAGAAGTCATTAGTCTCATATAAAATGCCAACGTAACTGAAATCTAGAAGCCATGATAGTATACCGGTTGTTTTTTCACTGCTAAACTTGTAGTAATGACAAGAAGTGAACATATATATCTGTGGTTTCATGACAAAGATAGGGGAAAACCGTGGAAACCACCTGTTCCATTCGTTCATTCGTCGTCACTCTTGACTCCAACAATGGCCCTTCGAGGGTATTCCCGAAAAATTACCTCATTTTCAGACACACCCGCATTAGTCTAATAACTACTGAACATATACTCTAACGCTTGAGTAGTGTTCAATACTAGTGATTTTGTACTGATGATGGTAAGATATGATAAGTGTGTCCAATTTGTAGTATGAACAATATTGTGGTACCCATTTTTATGGGTTCCATGACCTATCGAACATGACCATGTTCCATGGCCATTGTGACCATATTCTATGGCCATTTTTGATCACCAGAGGGATCCAGAGGTTGTGTAGCCCCCCAGTGTTGATTAACTCCCCAGGTTTTGGTGATTGTACACCCAGTCGTCATAGTCCGAGTATCTAGTGATAAAAATGACCATAGTAATACATAATAAACTTACATAACTATCATCAATATAACTATATAATGTTGTTTTTTTCAAACAAATATTGAACATCAAAAGACAACAACTAAGTAGATAAACATACATCAATAAATAATAATTATATAGATACATATATAATTATATATATGATATATATATATGATATATATATATATATGATATATGATATATATATATATATATGATATATATATATATGATATATATATATTATACATATATGTCATATATACATACATATATATATATACATATATATATAATTATATATATGTATATATTTGTATATAATTATATATATATATATGTTTATATAATTATATATATATATATTCTCCCTAGGGCATTCACCAGCCAATTTCCCAGCTGAGCTCCCACACTTCACCACCCAGGTGCCATCCAGCTCCGGGGAGTAGACGGGCTCCTCGTTGGAGTTCATCCTGAAAATCGCTCGGGAAAATCATGGAAAATCTGGGAGTTAAGCCATGGGAAAATGAAAAACAAAAACTAGGACAATCTATGGACAATCAAGGAAGATCTATCCCATGACGGATCCTAACGGTGCTGCTATATTAATGGTGTGCCATGGATCCCATCAACAAAAAAACCCAATCAATGTTAGCATTAATATAGCAGCACCGTTTGGATCCGTCATGGGTATGAAATTCTATGAAAATCTAGGACAATCTATGGACAATCAAGGAAGATCTATCCCATGACGGATCCATGGTGCTGGTATATGAATGCTAACATAAAGGGGGTATATTGATGGGATCCATGGAGCACCATATATAGCAGCACCATGGATCCTATGGGAACTATGAAAAACAATATCGATACACCCTGGATTTCACCTTGAACACACGTGAAAGCCATTGGTAAACACATCTCCAATGACACCAGGAATGACCTGTCCTGCGGATCTGTTTTTTTCATCATGGGACTCCGTCCGTGCATGTTCAACATGTAAATCCATTGCCTAATCCATTGACTCAAACAGAACTTGATGCCGGGTTGTTAGACAACCCAAATCTGATCTGATATATGAGTATGGATCAATACCTATTGATACCATTTTTAGGGGGATGAACATCCATTTACCAGCTATTTTGATGTTCACCAGGGGTACAAGGTTTTGACACACTGCCATATATTCTGTCATAGGTTTAAACCTCATCTTCTGCATTGACTTTGCTATAAAATGGTGGAGATTGCTGGAGTCTCATCCATTTTTTCAGACCAACCCGTATGGACCATCTCCGGTTTTGTGGACAAACAAAGGACTGTGGATGTCCACCATGCAACATCAGTAGCACGGGATAACCAATCAAGTGGGAAAAAAACGTGGCTATTTTTGTGAAAACCATACATTTCAATAGAGAGAAAGTAAAACGGGGGCTCTATTTGAGGATATGAACTACCCAAAGGATGGTAGATATCTTTGGATATGTTTTGGTTCGGCGCTGAACTACCCAAAGAATGGTCAGCACGCTGATTTTCCAGGATCTGTGGTATATGAATCAAAGGAATATACACCATATATATATACACATACATTATGTGTACACACAGATTACACACAGGTTATCCATTATCAACCATAATTACTACTATATACTACCCAGTTATACATGACATTCCATATGTTATATGTATAGGACCCCATTTATAAACCACTGCAGAACCACTGCAACTGATCCCCCCAGGGCACCTCTCCAACCGGACAATGGCCTCATCAACTCGTCCACGCATTGGCTTACCTCCGTCTGCTATGTGATGTCGTGATGTGATAGAAATCATTGGTAATGGGAATAGAATTTACTGGGAATATACTGGAATCTAATGGGACTATCATGATGTACTGTATCACTATCATAATGGGATATCATGAAAATATCATGGAGTATAATGTGATAGTATCTAGTGATTGGTACAATCGGAATATCATGAGAACATGGGACTATCAAGGAATACCACATGGTGCTACAATGGGAATATAGTGCCCATGGTGGGAACATGGTGCTATATCATGGGAAGATCATTGAGATTTAAGGCAAAAAACATGGTGGTGATAAGCCACTGGATTCTGAGTGCTTTCCCACTTTTTGCAGAAAAGAACAACGGTTAGGTCCAAAGATGGAAACTGGTTGGTGGTTTTAACCTCTGAAAAATATGAAAGTCAGATTGGAGTATCATCCCAACTATTGGGGAACATAAAAAATGTTCCAAACCATCAACCAGGAAATATTGATGTATTGGTGCGGCTATTGATCAAAGTGTGCAAAACATCAATTGATGAACTTGAAGCCAATCCCTCCCGACCAGGAATGAACGAAAAAACACGATATTTCCCACGGGTCATGGCACTCTGCTGGTAGCTGTGAAGACATCAATCGATAGCTTGTATAGCTCGATGTTCATGCTCCCCAAATATGGAATTTGACCCCAGGAAAACTCAGCATCAAATCAGCATCTTGATGAAATACTATGACAAATCCCATCAATTTCATCACCAGATTCCCAAGAAAAATCCGCACCTGATTCTGTTCCCTGCAGGGTCGCTTCCTGCCGCTCCCTGCGCACCTTCAGGTCGAAGTACTTCCTGCTCCAAGTTGCTGTCCAGCAAATCCATCAGCCTCTCCTGGCGACTTCCATCGCTGGAGATCAGGAGGTGCTGGTGTTTCTTCTTTCATGGTCAAACATTGTCAAATATCTTCGATAAATTTGGGGGATGTATGCTGATGTTGAACTTTTAACCTTTTTCTTTCTCTTGGATATTCCGTTATTCTGGATACATATATATATATAATGTAATATAATTCTACTGGCTGGTGGTTTCAACCCCTCTGAAAAATATGAAAGTCAGTTGGGATGATGAAATTCCCAATACATGGAAAGTCATAAAATTCCATGGTTCCAGTCACCACCAAGCAGTTATTACTCTTCACCTACTGATTCTTATATTAAGGAGACCTTGTTTTATTTACCCTCTGGTAAATTAACATAGACCCTGAAAATAGCCTAGTTTTAATGGAAACTAAATTTCCAACCCCTATCTGCCAGGGTCTATGTTAATTTACCAAAGGGTAAATCAACCATCAACCAGCCAGTGGGAAAAGGACGAATCCATGCTATCTTCATGATCGTTGACACGAGCAAGTATCATTGTCTTTGTCATTAATATCGACCCAAAAACGCATAGAAATCCAACATTTATGGGATATATCTACACATATATCATATATATCTAACGATTTATGTCATATATCTACACTAATACAGGATAGTATAGAAATAGCAAGTATTATACTATATATATATGTATATATATATGTATATATATATTATATATATATATTATATATCTACCAATTCATACATGGTTATTTATACACTTCTCCATCTAATTTGTTGGATCGCTGGGCAAACTTTTCTTTTCTCCGCGCGAATGTTTCAAGCCGGAGCGCAAGGCGAGCCCGGAGCGCAGCGCGCACAAAATATGTACATCCCATGCCATTCATCTATGGTATGTTCATAATTACTCACATTACTCGCGTAAGTGTAGATGTATATATTTATATGTATATATATATAATATGTATATGTAAATATACACATATTTAGTTCTATCTGCAAAACAAGAACTAGTAAGATTTATGCAAATCACCAAGTAATGATAGAAAATCAAGACCATCAATGGATGGCATGGGCATCACTGGCATCACTGGCATCACCGCAGCAAAGAGGACAACTGCAACCTCCAAAGTTCCACTCTGCCTGCGAAAAGGACTTCACCAGGGGGTGCTGCAAGGCATTCGGGGAAGGGACTAGCAATTTAAAACATGTTAAAACCCATGTGAGTAGCACTCATAATCTTCGAGATACCATTTACATCCATTTACCAGCTTGCGTTGATTCTGGCATACATGATGCTCCTTAGCCTTGAAACATCTTGAAGCCACCGGCCAGCATTTTTCCAAGGTATGCCTGGGGGCATGGCTTTCCGCCCGGCCTGCCCCCTTTCCAAGCAAGAAGGCGCTCTTGCCGGCCGCGCACATCCCCAACCACCTGCAGAGTGCAGGTTTCGAACCAATCTCTGGGATTCAACAAAAACAGAAATGGAGCCAAGATGAGCCAAGTTTTTTCGAATATCTAGATACATGTAATATATTTATGATGTATATATATATATAGATTGGAATATGCTTATCTTATTGACCATTTTACAGATTAGTTTGATTCAAGAGTAAACCACAGCAATATCGTGAAACAAAACGACTGGAACGTGAACCACGTGAACCAGTCGCACCGGAGGAAACCTGGCCTCAAACCCATCTCTTTGGGCAGGTCGTAAAACCAATCTGGCGCCAGGGTGACCCCTTTTTAGGTCATCTAATCCCATGGGGATCCTGCTTTTTTTCAGGTGCCCCAGGGACGCCTTTTTTTCCAAGGAAGTTCCCCGATGAAGAGATTCCATGGATAAACTAAGTATATGACTATGGTTATCAATAGTTAACTATAGTGATCAAGTTATACCAACTAATTAATGGTTTATCAATAGTTAACTTGTTTTTGTCATCTACCTAAGTCTGGGATAATCCTCTAAGCACTCCCTGTCTCTGAATCGCACCTGATGGAAGCCATCTCTCAGACTCCCAGGCATGAAGCCGTCCTGTAGGAAAAAATGCTGGCAGTGAATGGGTCAAATCATTTAGTGATGTTTGGTGGCTTGTAGAATATCTAAATTAAATGGTTTACATCTAGTTAAAAAATGTTTTTTCTCAACAATTCAAACATCATCTATGTAAAATCATGAAAAAACTAAGAATATCTACAAGCCATCTAACATCACACATGATTTTGTTTTGAACCCAATGAATGTCCCAAAGTTGCATTGTGGTTTTGCCAAGTCGGGGTCCAATGCAAATACCATTCGGCGACCATTTTGCTATGTCCAGGACCAGGATGATGGTTGGATGATGTGTTCACCATCATTTTCCAGCTTTCCAAGTTTTCTCTATTGGGGTTTGCTATAGTTGATTCGGCTTGCTACAATTCTCCCACAAGTAAATGACAACAAATGACAATTGATGTTTTTGGCGCACATTTGAGATCATTTGAGGGCGTGGTTGTTATGTGTGTTCTCCTATAAGAGTGGTTCATGCCAACATGTGCCTTTATCCCAATTGCACCAGCTGTATCCGTATAATTGCTGGTCACTGTCCTCATTTCAGCCCAGAAACATGCATGTATATAATATGTATATAATCTGTATATATATACACACACCAAAAATACGAACGTATAGAAACATCCACAATCATCTTTGTCATTCTGGTGTGAACATCGGGTAGGCGATTTCCCCAACATGGCCATATGTTAAGAGGGATACATGGATAATTCATGGATAAAAAGGAGTACATTTGTAAATTTGACTTAAACATTTGGCCACCTTTGTCTGAAAAAATCTGAGTATAGACAATGTCCATAAGTTCTATGTTCAACCAACGCATTTCTTCAATCTCTCCCAGATTTGGGTAAGTCTGAACAGATGGGTATACCATACAAAAAAGAGGGGCTATTTCATGGGGAACGAAAAAATGATTCAACAGGGGTCGCCTATTAAAAAAGAAAGGCATTTCTTTTCATGAAGAATTCCATGAGTTTAGAGAATCCATTGGTTTATCATAAGTTTCCCTTCCGCAGAGGTCCTGGAACTACGCTAAGATCAACTGAACGAAGCTCCGCTGTGAATGGAAGCAGATTGGAAATGCCTAACAAATGGAATTAGTTACTAATTATATGCACGAGTTTTCCTCAAGTTAATTACTCATGGTTATTTTTTTACTAATCATAAGTTTCCCTCTTAAAAAAGCTACGGTATGTGGTGCTTCATCTCACCATTTCGAAGAAACTCCCGGTCGAACCAGGTCCTTGTTGGCTCAGCGCCAGTAAGTCGCCACCCTGGCCACCACCATTACTTTACGGATCCTACTGGAGTCATCTACAGATCAAAAAAACAGAAGTTCTACAGATCATCGGCTGACATGATTTCGGATCGTTTCAAATCACCTTTTCAACTCCCATGACGGATCCAAACGGTGCTGGTTTTTGTTGATGCTAACATTGATTGGGGGTTTTTGTTGATGGGATCCATGGAGCACCATAGCAGCACCGTTAGGATCCGTCATGGGAATTTGTTTTGTGTTTGTCTTTTCGTTCTGCAAAAGCTCAAAAGTCCTTTTCGGATGTCCCAGGCCTGCAGGGCATCCAAAAACTCTTGCTGCCCTGCAGGATGTGATCCAAGTTGCATTGATGGCACCTGAAAGTAGAGCTGGCCCTGGGAGAAACATGGCACATATGGCACTATAACTGCTGATGCATCATCCACGGATCGTGGGAATCGTGGTTCATCATACCCATGCTTTTTATAACCCATAGGATCCATGTATGCTATATATGCTAACATTGGGGGTATATTGATGGTAAATGTTACCATATATAGCAGCACCATGGATCCTATGGGTAATAATGTTCTTATGAAATCCCCAGTTATCATAGTTAAGATATTATGTTCGTGGCTTCTCCCACTTATGGGTGAACTAACCCCAAGTACTAACCACTTTCTAAGGATGCTCTGAGTCTGCCACGAAGTGCCTGGCTTGGCCTTGCGGTGTCCCCGGACACCGGACAGCGGACAACGGGTGTTTGTGTATCTAGTGATGGGGAATTCAAACATATGGAGGTGTTCGAAAGGACTCGGGGTAATCATCCAATTGTTTCAAAGATTTTCCCTTACCCATAGGATCCATGTATGCTATATATGGTAACATTTACCATCAATATACCCCCAATGTTAGCATATATAGCATACATGGATCCTATGGGCTTATAAACCCCCAGCCATGGCCACGGGTCAAGACAAATGGATGGGCCGGATGTCTATGGTCATCCCATGCCATGGCTATCCTGAAACAAATGGGATACAAATCTATATTAATGGATTGATGAGCATCATCCCCATATGGGTCTACAATCCCACTTTGGCACATATCCCATGACGGATCCATGGTGCTGGTATATTAATGCTAACATAAAGGGTGTATATTGATGGGATCCATGTTACCATATATAGCATACATGGATCCTATGGGTATTAACATATGACTGAGTCTGATAGTAATAGTAGGAGATGCGCTCAAATTTGTCGTGTTGATGGAGAAAATGATGATAAACCAAGATAAACCAACGCTTAAATCCATGAGGGTATCACCAAAAAACGAACCCCAAACAACGGTGCCCCAACATACGCGTTTTGTTTGAAAATTATTGAACAATCTGTAGATCCAGTGGTTCACCATCATTTTCCTTATTCAAATGGCCGTGGCTGGATATATCAGGGATGACTGCGCCGCGCCTTCGGATGGCTGCAGCAACACGGGGCTTTTCTCAACCTCGGTTGGCGTGGAGAGAAAGCCATCATGGCTGCCATGCAACAGCTACACCCCACCAGAGTTCTCTCCAGATTGGAACCCGTGGAAAATCACATGCTTTATTCATTGCATGTCCTATAAGGTGGGGGCCCCCAAGGTAGCTAATGCTAAGGATGACTTGGTTCACATTTGGGTTTATTGGTTAACCAACACATAAACCAACTTAGTAAACCGCATCCTTCTTTAACTATAGCTACCCCCTGGTAAACTAATAATGAACATGGCCATAGATATAGTTGATTTACCCATTAAAAATGGCGGATCTTTCCAGTTCGCAAACTGTGAGTTTACCACAGGCTACCCTCAGGTAATTTCACAGTTGGCTATTAAAAATTGCCATTTATAGTGAGTTTTCCCCTTTAAAATGGTGGATTTTTCCATAGTTATGTTAGTTTACCAAAGGCTAATGGGCTTTGTAAACCAACTTATACGGCCTCCACCTCGCAGTGTCTGAGATCCCGCGCCGCGCGCTGCGCCCAAAAGCCGCCCTGATATCGGCCGGAGGACAAGTGCCAGGGCCCGCCGAAGAAATGTAACCTGGAAGTGATGGAAGTGCATCTGCCGTTGAATGGACAAAAAGTAGATTTATAATTATATATAATATATAATATGTAAAACATAGTAAAACTATATATAATATATATATAAATATATTTGTATAACTATATATATATATGCACATGTGTGTAATTATACACATGATATATATAATTATAGGGATCATATCCCAACTGATGAAGGTTATCAGCATGTTTACATCTACTTGGTGGCTCATCCCACGAATCGTATTGTATGTTTTAACCCAAGTTACGAGTGGGTTAAGCCTACTTATCCCACATAAAAAACAAGGGATATAAAGAACCTTACTTAGGTTGTGGGATGAGCCACCAAGTATATACATGTACATATTCAATCGAGTTAGCACTTAGCGCGTACCCTCTGGTAATTTAACATAACTATGGAAAATCACCATGTTTAATGGGAAAATCCACTATAAATGGCCATTTTCAATAGCCAACTGTTAGTTTACCAGAGGGTATTTTTTTTGTTTGTTTGTTTGTTTGATTGTTTGTTTGTTTTCCCCCCGAAGTCACGAAGTCTGGACTAACCTTACCTCCCCTTTAAAATCCTTTAAATACCTTTATTGCCGGGGCTTCCAACTTGTTGGGATGAACACCTTCTATGGCAATTTTCCGAAAAACCCATGGGCTTCTG